TCTGTGAAAACCAAATAAAAACAATTTAAAAAAAAAAAAAAAAGAAGGAAGGAAGGAAAGGAGATGGAAGGACAGGAAGGGAGGGATAGGAAGGAAGATGTAGGAAGAAAGAGAGGAAAGAAGGAAGAGGAAGAAGGAGGAAGAGGAAGAAGGAGAAAGAAATGAAGTAGGAAAGAATGAAGGGAGGCAAATGGAAGGACAGGAAGAGAGGGATAGGAAAGAAGAGGTAGGAAGAAAGGAAGAAAGAAGGAAGAGAGACAAAAGGTAGAAAGAGAAGGAGGTAAGGTGGATGCTGAAAGGAAAAGGGGAGAACGGGAGAAAGGAAGAGACAAGTAAGAAAGGAAGGAGAAAGAAAATGAGGGAAAGATGCAAGGAAGAGAAAGAAAGAAATAAGAAGGAAAGAGAGAGAAAGGAAGTACAAAGGAAGGAATATAAAAAGGGATGTACAAAAGATGAAAAGAGGGAAGGAAGAACGGGAAGGGAGAGTGGCAGGGTGGGATGAAGGAAGGAGTAAGGTAGAGAAAGGAAGCAAGAGAGAGAGAAAAATGGAGGGAAATGAAAGAAGAGAAAGGAAGAAATAAAAAATGAAAGGGAGGTAGAAGAAGGAAGGAAGAAACATGGGAAAGAGAGGAAGGAAGAGAAAGAAAAGGAAGGAACAGAGGGAGAGTAAGGAAGGATTGGAGGTTATCTCTGCTTAATGAAAGAGATAATATTCATAGTATTGTTTTTTAGGGTACAATGAAGAATAAAGGATTGCTAATAAAGGCTTCCTTGCTCTCCACAATTATGGTCCTGACAATGAGATGGATTACAGACTCCGGTACCCAAAGAATCCCCAAAAGCACATATCCTCCACTCACCCCATCACCAACCATCAGCAACTCCGCTCCCCATTATGAGGCAATCAGTGACCCTAAAACATGGCACTTACAGTTATCACCTCAACTTAACCAGCTTTGAGGCGGAGTTCCCCCAGCTACAGAATTACAACTGCACGCTCATCCAGAAGCCACAGCCAGAGGAACCAGGAGCGGCCAACCAAAAACTGCTGATCCTGGCGGTGAAATCCAACCCTGGCGTAAGCAGAAGGAGGGCCGCACTGCGAGAGACGTGGGCTAAAAAGAGGGATATAAAAGGATACAGAATTAGGCCGCTCTTCTTGATGGGAAAGACGGACGTGAAGGGACAAATGGAGCTGGCCAAGCTTGAGAGCCGAGTGTATGGTGACATTCTACAATGGGACATGACGGAGGGACACCACAACCTGTCCCTGAAGGAACGCTGTTTCCTGGAGTGGCTGTATCTAAATTCACCACAAGTTTATTTTATATTCAAAGGTAAGAGACGTATATTACACTATCAGAGCGGAAAGGCACAAAATCCCCATTTATGGGATTCTACAATGAAGGTACATAGACAAGCAATAGGGATTCAATTATAGAGACAGAATAAACTCTGTCATCCGAGACTTTCCTCTAAAGTTTGATGTTTATACACAGAGAGAGAAAGAGAGACTGAGGGACAGGGATAGGAGAGTGAGGAGAGAGCAAAAGATGAGACACCGGGGGAACAAAGAAATGGGAGTGTGGGGAGTGAGATACTAAATAAGAGAAAAAAGAGGGTAAGAGAGTTCCAGGGGGAGAGAGAGAGAGGAAATACAGAGGAGAGATAGAGAGAGA